CTGCTTATAGACTACAACAGTCCATTAAAGAATGGTAATATGCATCGCCTAAATACTATATGAAGCCGACATCAAACCAGAGCCTCCAGTGGGTATAATACAACTTTCAAAAGGAGGGATACTGCTTATAGACTACAATGGTCAGTCAAAGAATGGTAATGTGCATTGTCTAAATCAGGGGTGCCCACAATTTTTCGTCTGGAGATCTACTATTCAAAGGACGAGCTCAATGAGATCCACCAACGGAAAAACACCTTTATGTAAAAAAGAAGCATATTAAAATTGTTACTGGGACTGCTGCCTCTCTCTGCTGTCTCTTCTCTCTCTCTCACTGCTGTCTCTTCCCTCTCTCTCTGCTGTCTCTACTCTCTGCTGTCTCTTCTCTCTCTCTGCTGTCTCTTCTCTCTGCTCTCTTCTCTCTCTCTGCTGTCTCTACTCTCTGCTGTCTCTTCTCTCTCTCTCTGTTGTCTCTTCTCTCTCTCCTGTCTCTACTCTCTGCTGTCTCTTCTCTCTGCTCTCTCTGCTGTCTCTTCTCTCTCTTCTCTCTCTCCTGTCTCTACTCTCTGCTGTCTCTTCTCTCTGCTCTCTCTCTCTGCTGTCTCTACTCTCTGCTGTCTCTTCTCTCTCTCTCTCTGCTGTCTCTACTCTCCGCTGTCTCTTCTCTCTCTCTCTGTTGTCTTTTCTCTCCGCTGTCTCTTCTCCCTCTCTCTCTATTGTCTTTTCTCTCCGCTGTCTCTTCTCTCTCTCTCTCTGTTGTCTTTTCTCTCCGCTGTCTCTTCTCTCTCTCTCTCTCTCTGCTGTCTCGTTTCTCTGCTGTCTCTTCTCTTCTCTCTCTCTGCTGTCTCTTCTTTCTCTCTCTGCTGTCCCTTCTCTCTCTCTCTGCTGTCCCTTCTCTCTCTCTCTGCTGTCTCTTCTCTCTCTGCTATCTCTTCCCCCTCTCTCTCTGCTGTCTCTCTTCTCTCCTGACTGTCTTTCCTTACCTGCACTGCAGCAGCTTCCCTGGTCTCCTCTCATGTGCGCTGTCCTGTCCTCCCACGGCCGAATGTGGCCGACACTGCAGATGGGTAGAGGTGCCCCGCCCCTTCCCGTCTGCAGCATCTGACACATTCAGCCGCACTAGCACCACGGGAGGGAGCTCAGGTCAGTAAGACGATCTCGAGCTACCAGTGTTCACTTTGCGATCGACTGGTAGATCGCGATCGACCTAATGGGCACCCCTGATCTAAATGTTATATAAAGCCAACATCAAACCAGAGCCTCCAGTGGGTATAATGCAACTTTCAAAAGGAGGGATACTGCTTATAGGCTACAATGTCCAGTCAGAGAATGGTAAGGTGCATATCCTAAATGCTGTATAAATACAAAACATATTGCTTCAAATCAAAAAAGAAATCAAGCTATTTACTGAATATGTGTAGTTATACTGTAAAAAGAAACACAGATAGGGGGCCTACAAAGCCAACATCAAACCAGAGCCTCCAATAGGTATAATACAACTTTCAAAAGGAGGGACACTCCATAGAGACTACAGCTGTCCATCAAAAAATGGTAATGTGCATTACCTAAAGGCTGTATGAATACAAAGCAAATTGCTCCAAATGAAAAAGGAAATCAAGCTTTTATTTTATAAGTCCAGTTATGCTGTAAAAGAAAGACAAATAGGTGGCCTAAAAAACCTGACACCAAACCGGAGTCTCCAGTAGGTATAATACAACTTTCAAAAGGATACTTCTTTGTATCCTTTTGAAAGGCCATACACCTATAAATTATCTGCAGATTTTATATGGTCAGATGGAAAAAGTGCAACAGATTCCTCCATATACGCTAAACTGTGTGGATGGTGGAATCTCCCACTGGGCCAAGCTTCAGTATCTTACTAGTCGGCCCCGCTGGCTCTCAAAATACCTGAACATTGACTGCATCCAATCAGATTGTTCAGGTATTTTAACAGCCAGCGGGGCCGACTAGCAAGATACTGAAGCTTGGCCCAGCAGGAGATTCCTCCATCCACACAGATTAGCGTAGACGGAGGAATCTGTTGCACTTTTTCCATCTGACCATATAAAGTCTGCAGATAATCTATACAGTATGTGTATGGCCAGCTTTAGAGACTACAATGGTCCATCAAAGAATGATCATGTGATTTACTTAAATGCTGTTTGAATACAAAACATGGTGTTCCAAAAAGGAAATCCAGTCGCGTCCTCTTCAAGACGGTTTTATTAAAGTGACACTAAACTTTACAACATCTCTCTCCAGCAGCAGAGGCAGGACGTCCTTTGGATGACGTATGTGGACTTATGCTGCCCGACAAATGCAGGTCCAGACCAGTTGGGGGACTGGGACCTAATAAGTCTACTTTTGGGGGGGAAGAAATGTCACAGTACCCACCGTGACCTGGGCTCCTGGAGGGGGCTGGCGGCCGGCCTCCTCCCCAGTGACTATGGACCTAAGATTTTGGAGACCCCCCTTTGTTGGATTGAACCGGATGTCCGGGGCCCATGGGCGGCTGGTGCGGTGGAACCTGGCCCTACAGCCATTCAATTTCACAATCCCTGCTCTGGAAACACAATGCTAAGGAAAATGGACTATCTCGGCAAACGGAACTGGAAGAGTGACTGTAACATCATGGACATCCCCAAGTGGACCCGTAGAGGGTTTCGCCGGGTCTGCCATCTTTTAACTTGGGGGAGCTATGTGACGACATGGTGATGAGTTCATAAGTTAAATGTGTATTGGGGTTGAGTTATGTTTGAGTGCGTTATGCTGTGTGACCTGGTTATGGAAAGACTATCAGCACCATCCCTCGTTATCTCCCATTGTTCTCTGAGGGAGCTCAGAACAATGACATTCTGGCCAGGCTCTTGCTATGGTTGTCTGGAGTTTGTTAGCAGGTGGACACCTGTGGTGTTGAGCAGACCGATTGTCTGGGAGGGGAGGGTGGATGTGATGGGATTATATTCTGATTTCATCACTTGCTGTATAAAAGTTTGTGCAGTTGCTCAATAAAGGAGAGTTTTTGTTTACCCTACACTCAAGCCTTGGCTAGTGACTGGGGAAACTGGGAGCTAAGGATCTTCAGGTTGCAAGATCTCCTCAGCAAGGAAGAAGACAGCGGCGGACATACTCATCCTGAGTACGGGGGTCCGTCACAGGGAACACAAGTAGCCCCCCTCCAGAAGGAAGGACAGTGTCAGCACCAATTCAGAGATGATTGGAGGAGCTACAGCCGAGTGATACACAAATAAGATACATTGTTGTTAATAGTTAGGGGAATTGAATGTATTTTTAAGATTTAATTCTCGAATTTAGTGTCACTTTAAGCACATTTATATTAAAATACCATTGTATACCACATATCAAGACCCACTATTTAATAGAATAGTATTTTCATATAAATGTGCTTAATGAAACAGTCCTGTAGGGGACACGGCTTGATTTCCTTTTTCATTGGAATTAATATATTTTGCAATCATATAGCATTTAGGTAATACGTTACCATCCCTGATGGACCATGGTAGTCTATAAGCAGTATCCCTTCTTTTGAAAGTTTTATTTATAGCTACTGTAGACTCCGGTCCGGTGTTGGGTTCGTAGGCCACTTATTTGTGTTTTCATTTACAACATAATTGGGTTTATTTATTAAAGCAGGGACTCTGTGCAAACTGCATTCCATAAATAGCTTAGCTTTTGCTGATGTGAACTGTGGTATAGCTTTGCACACAGGCCGGATTGGGCTTCGGGGACTGTGAGACATGAGCAAAATGTTTATTATAGCATGCCCAGTAAGATCCATTAAATCTTGTTCACTTGTCTTGTAGCGATTGTCATTGTTAATATAAATATACATTGGCAGCTGATATGTACTCTGTTTGATGCTGGTGGTAATTGTTGGGGAACTTTCTTCATGCCCAATGAACATTTCCCTTTCCATATGGTTCGGTGATGGCTTTTTATATGCTGTTTGAAATTTTTATGCTTCTGAGTATATTGTATTAATATTCTTAATAATTAGTCTTAAGAATTTGTAATACGCACTTCACAAAGTCAGCGCGTTCTGTGTTTTTTTAGTTTTTGTTTATTCATGTGCACATATATGGATTTCAAAGCTGCATTTTAGGTAGATGCAATAACATTTATTGCATTTATGTATTTATTTTAAAATAAGTATGACATGTATTTTGAACACAACTAGTATAAATGCCAAAATACAGCGGGGAGCCGTTTTCATCCACTAAACTAATTTTTACAGTAGGGCTAGGCAACCTTAGCACTCCAGCTGTTGTGAAACTACAAATTGTATCATTCCTCTGCCTTTGGGAGTCACGTCTGTGGCAGTCGGTGTCTTGCAATGCCTTTTGAGACTTGTAGTTCCACCACAGCTGGAGTGTCGAGGTTGCCTATCCCTGGTGTAAAAATGGTTCATTCATTCATTTAGTGTATGTTCACTTTGCAAAATGAAATATAGTACATAAGATGAACCTGTTTTAACTTTGGATACCCAATCACATAAGAGGGATATGGGAAAAATTGGTTGATTGGATGAAAACGGTTTCACCTTGTTTATTAACAGTGCCTAGGCACACTTCGTTACTCTAGCCTTACAATTGCCTATCAGGAGTTTTCCCTTATCCTGCTTCTGAATACTGGATTACAATGATGGTGTCATCAGGGGACGGGGCCTAGGCCCAGTGATAGTTGCGTCTATTCTAATGTGGTGGCTTCCTTGCAGCTGCAAATTGTTACTGAATAGAAGACAAACTGGGCCTAGGCAAAAAAACAATGCAGAATGCCTACTGTACGTGCTATGGCATCTGACTTGTCTCACACTTCGTGAAGACCATGTTTGTCTGGGTCGAGATCCACTTTAAAAACATAACAGAACCATGTGTGATGCCTATGTAATATCAAAAGGGTTTTTTAAGGTTTTTTGAAATTGGATTTAGAAGAGATTATCCCAAACAAGCATCTCAAAATCTTGTTCTTCTTTTCCTCCGCAGCACCTGCCACCGATTCTCCTGCTCACCGCGGAACTCCTAAAGATGTTCTGAGCCCCATTACATCTGATGATGAGTATCTGAGCCCCCAGGAAGATTTAAGTGAGCCTGCAACACCCCAGCACGTGATGCCTGGCAAATCCCCAATGGTGACCTTCAAAGCCCCCCCATCATTTAAGGTAAGTGGGACCTTGTGTACCTGATGATTCGTAAGTGTACTGCATGACGCTGATGAACCTTGGGTAGCAGAGTAATACTGCAATGAAAAAAACATTAAAGGGTTTCTAAACCCTCCGGTTTTTTGCATATATATGAGGCTAGCAAGCAGTAGATATATGCAAAAAGTAAAAAAGAAAAACCCGCTTTAAACTTACCCCGTTTTTGCCGCGCGCTGCCTCCCAGAACCTCCCCCCCCC